CCTGAGATCCCCCCCCCCCGGCGTCCTGAGCCGTGCTTCTGGACACGGATCCAGTGTCCCTCGCCAACACCGGTAGAAGCCAACAAAAGCAGAGCAGAAGGAATTAGGTTACATTTACAACAAGAGGCTCCCGCTATAAATTCATCCCAACAACAAACATGCTTGTATAAGGCTTTGAGGAAATGCTCTTTACACAGAATGTGACACTGCAGCTTCAGGGGCATTACACTTTAAGATGTTAGAGTTTTAAAGTTTTTAGTTTTGGTCTCTATGTGCCCATGTGGGTCTGCTTTATTCATGTTAATCTGTTTTTGTGTGACAGACTGTGTGTTATTGCCAAGGACAAAGCTGATGGCTTCTAGTCAGTAGATCCATTTAGTAGACAGATAGGTCATTAAGATTTCCGTGACCTAGTCAGCAGGAATTGATCATGTTGCCTCTCTTTACATTCCAAGTCTTCTGTGTCTGTTCTGCTGTATTGTTTTTTTTTGTGTGTCTTGTGCCTTCTTCTACTGTCTCTTCATCCACCTAACATGTTCATTGTTTCTTTATTTCCCTCTCCACACCTCTCCTCCTCTCTCTTTCTTTAACCCCCGTCCTCAAATCTCTCTTTAAACCCTGTGGCTTTTGTCGTTTGCACCCCCTCCAATCACATTCATATATGGCTGCCTGACCTCTATTATACCCCGGCCCCCTGTTACAGTGTAATAAAAAAGAATGCAATAAATAACACAGAGATGACACTCATTGTCTGCCGCTGTAATGTGAGGAATGTCCAAGTAATTTGGAATGGCCATATTAGCATTAATCCTTCTGTCGCACACATTTGTATGCACACACAGTGCTAATCACTTGTTTGTCTGTGTGTGTGTGAGTGTGTGTGCATGCACATTTGACAGGTCAGTAATACATTCCCATGTCAATGTGCAAAGATGAAGAGGTGAGGTTCCATTAAGTCTCTGCTGGTGGCCCATAAATCAAAGTGATTTTAGTGGTGTGTGGGTGTGGGTGTGTGTGTGTGTGCACTGGTCACTCTCAGTTATAGATCCTGTTAATTTTGTCTTTGCACAGTTCAACCTCTTAGTGCTGAAATGATTAATTAACAGTGTTTTAATAATAATTTTATCATTTTGAGTAATTTATCAAATAAAAGTACGACAACCATTAGTAGGTTTATGCTCCTCCAAAAGGATTTATATCTTTTATCATTATAAACTGCCTCAGTTTACTATTGTAAATACAAAATAACTAATTAGAAGAGTGTGATTATGGAGCATTTGTTTCACTTTTCCTTTATTTTGTGACATTTCATAGACAAAGCAATAAATCAATGAATTGAAAATAGTAACCGAGAACTTAATCGATAATTACAACAATGACAAACTGTTAGTTTACATCTTGCAAGTATGTTGTTCTTCATCACTCTCGTCCTCTCTGTCTCTTGGTCAGGTTCATCAGTACTACAGCTCCTTGCCTGAGGACAAGGTGCCCTACGTGAACAGCCCGGGAGAGAAATACCGCATCAAACAGCTGCTCCATCAGCTCCCGCCTCATGACAATGAGGTGAGAGTCCAAACTGACCCCTCCCCCACCACCTCCATCCATCCACCCATCCACCCATCCATCCATCCATCACCCCCCTCCTTTAGGGCAACACAGATAAAAGGGGAGAAGGGAGGAGACAGGAAAAATAGAGTCTGTCTTTCTGATGGGTGGGAATGAGATAGGAAGGTGTTTGTGTGTAGCTGCCTATTTTAGCTTTTTTTTAGTATAAATAAATCATTACCAGAGTTAATCTTATGTTATGTTTGTCATAAACAAGTGGTGACATCATTAAGGAAATTGGCGTCCTTCAGCCCCACACTAGCCTGATAGTCAGGATGCCATTTTGTTTCACTTCGTCATTTAGTGTAACATCACGGTAATGTTAGCCAATTTCCATTTGAGAGGGGGCTTATTCCGACTGCCTCTTCCAATCAGTTTTCCAATAAAACCAAAACGTTTTCCAATTTAAGAAATTTAAATTGTTTCTGAAAGTAGACATTCAACAACTATGTCTGTGTGTCGATCTCATCCACACTTGCTGCTTTTTTGTGGCCATTTCCTTACTTCATGAATGTAGCTAGATAGCTATGTAGCAAGATGATGACGCAACATCCCTAAACTCTCTGTCTGCTTAACAGATCAAACTTAACAAATGTGTGTCTGTGTGTATGTGTCTAGGTCCGCTACTGCAACAGTCTGGATGATGAGGAGAAGCGAGAACTGAAGCTCTTCAGTAACCAACGGAAGCGGGAGAACCTGGGCCGCGGCAATGTCCGGCCATTCCCTGTGACGATGACTGGCGCGATCTGCGAACAGGTAGCTGACAGAAATACCAAAAAACATTGTTTTTTAATCGTTTTCCAGGCAGTCCAGAGATATGACGAGATCAAAGATTATCGGAGAGTGGCACACCGTTTCACTTCCAAATGCCATTCCCGTGTTGCGTCCTGTCACAAGAGTGTATTAAGTGTGACAAGATCAAAGGTCTTGGAATGAAAGCAATGAATCGTGTGACAGACATAGTGAACAGCCTGCTGGCATTTTAGATCTTTTTTATGATGTATGAGAGGTGCTTTATGTTGACATGTAAAGGGCAGAGACACAATACATGTCTGCTTTTTTAACAACATTGTGACCTTGTCAGTCTCACCTCAAAGTGTTCTGAAGAAGATGTTGAGGTGGTGCACATCACAGTATTTGTCTTAAGACATAGCCTTACATAATACCTCAGAGAACTAAGTTACAGTCAAAACTGCTTCCCTGAAAATATTTCAAAGTAGTACCCAGTGTCCCATCAAATATTTACTGTATCGTCTACATGCATTCTTATAGCGGCCCTCTGGGACCACAGAGTGCGACGGAGAGTGTTCTTTTAACAACAAACTAGCGAACATCAGCATCCGCTAGCCATTTGTTACTGTGTGTACAACAAGCAAAGTACTCTCTGTTGTGTTGGTGCCCCAGGTGTATAGCTGCTTTACAGCTTGTGCTTCTCATTCGCTCAGCAGACACACACACACACAAACACAAACACACACATACATGAGGGAGCAGATTGTTGGGAGAGTGCGTATTGATTGAATTCCCCACCCCCCCTTTGGCCTCCTTGCAGCAGTCGGCTTTGTGCCAGTTAGATAACCTGATTGTAACTCTGTCTCCATCTTCCCACCCCTCTAAATCTACTTTGCCTACCTGACCTTTCCCCCTGTCTCCTTAGCACTCCCTCACGTTACAGCTTCTCTAGCGTTACACCTCGATGCAGATCTCACTTTCCTTTTTATCCTCCCATATATCACTGTTTTTACCTCTCCCCTTTGCCCCCCAACGTCCTCCAGAAGCCATTCAACATTCTCTCTGTGTCTCTGCTGCACTCAACAATCTCACCTTCTCTCTATCTACTTACACTGCTTGTCTCCAGAACTGCTAGCCCATTGGTTTGATCCCTCACTGCCGTATGTCCCGTGGCATCAACTTGTTTTAACAGGAATTACTTCACATTAAGGAAGTAATGATATCATACAGAGTTTCAAGATGGCGCCTCATCCATTCAGTCCAATGAAGATTCCTCACAGGGTGCCGTGCATACCAAAAAGACTTTCATTGCTCATGTGATTGGGAAGAAAATAATTTACTGATATCGCTCTTCAAGACTTAAATAAATCACGTTGTGTTCATGACACAAATATTAATTATTAAGTAATTTTGTAATGACTATAAAGGGAAAAAGTTGTTCTGGACCATTGTCACATGACCACCATAGATTAAATAGTTTATTGGTCACTGTTCACAACATAATGGTAATAACAGTAGTGATAAACTTTTATCGAGAATGCACAAGTCTTTAAGAGAATATTGGTTTTGTATTTTTGGCATTTTGTCTTTGTTGAACATTGGCTTCATAAAGGGCCGACAGGAAACATAGGGTGAATGGTTTACCATGCCTGCAAGGTCCACCACGTGACTACTGGGTGCCCAGGTGTACATATTTTAAGTTGACCTACAAAAAAATAGCACAGGTATGTAACTGATACTCGGTATCAGCCACTACTCCGAATTCAGGTATCAGAATTGGTACTGGGAGAGGGAAAGTGGGGTGTAAATAGTGAACCATTTTCTCAAAAACTCTCTTCTTCTTTTTCCACCTCTTTATAGTGTGGAGGCCAGATAAATGGCGGCGACATTGCTGTATTTGCGTCACGGGCAGGTCATGGCGTGTGTTGGCATCCGGCCTGCTTCGTGTGCAGCATGTGTAACGAGCTCCTGGTGGACCTCATCTACTTCTACCAGGACGGGAAAATCTACTGCGGCCGACACCACGCCGAGAGGCTGAAGCCACGCTGCACCGCCTGTGATGAGGTAGACGCCCGTCACATCACACACACACACAAATGCACCATAGCTAACATACTGTGCCTGAAATGCAACACCGTGTTCGTAGTGCTATTTATTAAGAATTAACATGTACACACATTTTGCACACATTTCGCACATATGCATTCCTAGAAGCGCACAAAATTGCTGTCATATGATGGTCACGGTCTTCACAACACACACTGTCACAGTTTCACACATGCAGGGGTTTTCCAGTTTAATGGGATCAGCCCTCCATATCCTGATCTTCCAACCATTAGCACTGACTTACTCTCTCTGCAAATGGGTACAAGGACACTGCTAGTACTTAAAAAGCACCCCGGTGTTTTAAAAGCAGCATAATTAAAAGTAAATGCACCATCTAGATTTCACCCAAGTCCCCGCACACATTAGCCTCCCACACAAATCAGTGACAAAGAGGATGATCTAAGAGACTAAGCTGCAGAGGAGAAAGGGGTGCGTATGTAGGGGGATGGAGGGCGAGCCGAGCCATTGTCCTGTCATTCAGCGCGCAGTAATAACCCAACTGAGGTTTTACCTCCGGAGGACCTGTGATAAACGATACTCTTTCTTATCTCTCCTTTCTTAGATCATCCTAGCGGATGAGTGCACTGAGGCAGAGGGGCGTCACTGGCACATGAAGCACTTCTGCTGTTTCGAGTGCGAGACTGTGCTGGGGGGCCAGCGCTACATCATGAAGGAGGGACGGCCCTACTGCTGCTCTTGCTTCGAGTCCCTCTACGCAGAGTACTGCGACTCCTGCGGGGAACATATTGGTATGCTGCACCACCACCCGGCATCTATCACTGCTAATACAAACTGCATCAATCACCAGCAGGTCATTCAAAGAAACCCTTACAGAAAAAAAATATGGTAATAGTAAAAACATGAATACATGGAGGAAAGTTTAGTTTGTTCAAGGAAGGTGAAAGAGTGACCTCATTTTTTGTAGTGAATAACGGATGAAAAAAGATGTGGCCTGGTTTTTTGCAGTTTATCACTGAATGATGTCATCCATGGTCATGCATATGAGCCAAGGGCACATAGCAGTAGTCTACAGAGACCTTAGTTTACAGAGCACAGAAATATGTACAGTATATATTATGCAGCATGAACCCAACCTGGGGCAAAGGCATGACTGTATCAAGTGACTTTTCAAGTCCAGGATCTGTTTTTACCACATACGCATGCATCAAGTGTCAGTTAAATACAAATTTAAACATCTCAAAACCTGTTGTGTTTCTAACTAAGAGAAAACTGGGGTATTTTTCTGTGGGAAACCTTCTTGGCCCCATGCCACCCCCTGTTCAAACTGTGTGTGTGTGTATGTGTGCGTATCCCCCAACAGGACGCCCAGGTGTGATTTTGGCACATACCTCTCAACAAATTTGCTCTGTAATTATTTGTCAGACAGGATACAGAAAAAAATATTTGGCAAAAAAACACAACTGATTATAAATTGAAACCATCAGAAAACATGCTTGAACCAGATGGCAGCCATTAGCAAATAGCTGGTTTCTTTCCCTTGCAACAACTGCAAGCACACTCAAAATGCAATGTGTTTGTACAATGCTGGGCAAGCTCCATAATGAGTTTCCCCCCAAGAGAAGTTAGGTTACAGTCCCCAGCTCTATTTTCTCACTCAACAACCAACTATGTAATATGCTACTATTTTCACATAAAACAGCATTTTTAATTATGGATTCAGATTTTCAATTTAAAGCTCTTTGATAAAGACATAGTGCTTTGTATTTTAATTGTGCCTTTGTACACAGTCTGTCCTTTTACTTCAACACTGTGGATTCATGTGTTGCTTTTATTTCCTGCAGGCATCGACCAAGGCCAGATGACATACGATGGGCAGCACTGGCACGCCACAGAGGGCTGCTTTTGCTGCGCCCGCTGCAAACGCTCTCTGCTGGGTCGGCCTTTCCTGCCCAAGCAGGGCCAAATCTTCTGCTCACGCTCCTGCAGTCTGGGGGAGGAGCCCAATGGCTCAGACTCCTCTGATTCGGCCTTCCAAAGCGCTCGCTCCACCAGAGAGTCCAGACGCAGCTCCAAGACAGGAAAGAGTGGAGGAGGGGGGGGAGTGCAGACTGAAAGGTTTTCAGGGGAGGTGGACCCGCTGTCTTTACAAATGGATCTTCTGAGTCTCTCCAGCCAGACGCCCAGTTTGACTCGCGAGCCACCTGCCTGGCAGAGCCAAGAGCAAGCGGGTGATGGCTATAATTATGAAACCCAGTCAGACCCAACTAACAACCCCACCCCTCTTCAGCTCCTCAGCCAGTGCAATGTCAGGACTACCTATAACCCCACCTGCTCTGGACAGAGCAATCAACAGCAGGATCACAGGATCAAGGAGAACGGAGGTTTGAAGAGACCACCCATATCAGCCATGAAGGGCCACTCGTTCAATGAGACATGGTTTCAACAGCCAGCTCCAGAAGAGTACTATCCACCCAAACTGAGAACCCAAAAGAGCTTTACAGAGGTGTCCAATTGTTCTCAGCACCACAACGGCTTCTCCTCTGACAAGCGCTCAATCAGTTTGCACGGCTTTCAGAGGGACAGGGACAGAGATGCGGGGCCTGCAGCAGCTACCCAGGTGGCAAGAAGCAGAAATCCCATCAATGCACTTAACTTCACTGAGCAATTGACCCCTCTAGAGCAGACCCCAAGAGGATCCATGGAATCCCTGGCCCTGTCCAATGCTACAGGTAGGGATGGTAGACCTCAGCTTGGCCTTATTGTTGGTTTAACAAGGGTAGTTGTGCATTTTTACTGCAGTAGTACTGGTATTGTTGATAGTCTACATCAAAACCTGTGCTTACTGTGCATCGTGTAATCTGAAAAACTGAATGTGATGACAATGAATGAAGGCAAAGTTAACACTGAATTGAACTCTGTTTTCCTACAGGAAACTCAGCAGATGGAGGAGGAAAGCGTCAGGAGCACCTTTCTCGTTTTTCCATGCCGGACCTGAGCAAAGACTCTGGAATGAACGTGTCAGAGAAAAGTAACATGGGCACCCTGAACTCCTCAATGCAGTTTCGTAGCTCTGAGTCCATTCACAGCCTCACCGCCAATCAGCCCTACATGGAAATGGATCCTCCCAGGTCCTCTCAGTACCAAATGCAGTACTGCAACCCCTCTGGCATGGGTGTGGGTATGGGTATGACTCATTTACCGCCTGGCTTTACCTTCCAGGAGGAAGACAGGGTAAGTTTGGTGAGCAGCGCCAACGCTGCTCGCTTGCCACCCATTAGTGAGCGTAGGGTGGGTGGTGTCAGTGGTGGTGGAGGAGGAGCAGGTGGAGGAGGAAGGGGAGCAAGTATTCGGATAGATGCACCGGAGGAGACTCCCCAGAGGCGCCGGCACCACCACCACCACCGGTCCCGGAGATCTCGTCGGTCTCGTTCAGAAAACGCTCTCCACTTGGTGGCAGAGCGAAGGGCAAGACCTCAAGAAAGACCACAACTGCGTGTCCGTGAGGATTATGACCGTTTCCCACCACCAAGAAGTGCCAGGGACCAGTTTGGAATAGGAGGAGGAGGGGGAAGATACCAGCCCCAACTCTTCAGACAGTGCCCCAGAACCACTTCAGACCTGACTCTTCAGAATCCCGGGGCTAGCCGACGCACTGGCTTGAACCAATACTCCTGGGATGATTATGAGGACGATGACTGGTGCTCCACCTGCTCATCATCCTCCGAATCAGAGGATGAAGGTTACTTTCTCGGTGAGCCGATCCCCAGACCTATCCAGCTGCGCTACCTCAGTAACCAGGAGCTTGTCCATAAGTACAACAACACAGGGATGGGAGGACCCAACCGCAGTGGGCAGTTACACACCCGCAAACGCAGAAAAAGCAAGAACTGCATTATTTCCTAACATCCTGAAGCTTGGCACAGTAAATGACTCTTTGGCCAGCTTGTGTACTCCATCTGGAACAAAAAATAAATAAAACTCACAGTCCATTTATTCAGTATTGTTGAGTGTTGAATATCATGTAATTGAAAGTCAGTGGTAAATTACAGTTGGTAAACAGTGAAAAAGCAACAGTGTTTGCATGTTTGTTCATTTTAATGTTTCGGAAAATCTCCTGAGTACTAAGGCTAACAGTTACATGCGCAGTTTTATCAAGTCACAATGTTTCTCAAAAGCTGATGTGCAATTTTTTTTTCATAACTTCATTTCCATGCAGCAAACAAGTGTGCAAGGTAGTCTAGCAGTTTAGCTTTTTCATGCAATGTGATTTAGATATAGAATATACTGTACTATTGTATTCAGTTCATAGTATGTACATAGATAAATGAATTAATAATTTCACTTAAGTTAAGGAAGTCTGTGTAAATATGGTTGTAAATGAGGCCTCACATATTTTTATATTTTGTATGGATAGAATCATTTATGTATTAAATATCTATAATGTAGAGATAGAAAATGGCAAAAACAACTTATGCATGTTTTATTTGGCTGACCTGGTCCTGCATTTGGAATAAAGGAGTATTTCAGTGAGTATTTTGACTGACAGCTGGTGTTTCTCTCCTGAGAATGACAACGTGTGCACAAGTGTTGTATAACAGTGACTTCGTGACTACCAGTCACCTTCTCCATCTGTTTAAAGCATAAATGAATGACAATGCGGTGTAGAGGTTGATTAGACAGTCACCCTCCACTGGATTGACAGCAATGGGTGCCGTTGGATTCAAACACAGGGCTCCATTGTCCTGGAGAACAAGCCACAGAAGTTCTGCTTTATTGCATCAGCCTAAGTTGGAAACTGCTGACAAAGGTCTAGGGATTTAGTTATTGAAATCTGGTGATGCTTTGTTTAAGTTTTTTTTTTATTTTTAGTAATGCTAGCAGCATAGCAGTGTCGGTCTGTGGGTTCACCAATTTGGTCCTGGCTGAAAAATTGATTTAACGGATTGCCTTGAAGTTTGGCACAGACTTTCATGTTCCCCTATGGATGCATTATAAAAACCTTGGTGATCCCCTGCTTTCACAATTATGTCAAAATGTGTCCAGTACGTTGGTTTACGACCAAATACATAAATTAATGACAATCTTATTAGCCTCAGCTGTACTTCTAGAGCTAAGTGGCAAATGTTGGCATGCTAACATGGCTTAAATCAGATGTTGAACATAGTGAACATACCTGCTAATCGTAAGCATTTTAGCATTGTCACTGTGAGCATGCCA